GCGGCCCACCTCTTCCCTGATGGCTGTAACTGCACAGGCATAAAGACTTTCCACAGCCTTCTTGGAGGTAGATGCTATATGGCAGTCTCTCCATCCTCCATGGGGGAGCAGACCGCTGAGAATTCAAATCCCTCCGCTAAGAACAAAGGGCACCCTTGGCAGAACTCAAACCATAAGAGCTTGGACCTCTAACCCTCCACCCACTAGGCTTGTAATAAAGTTTCTCTTTCTTTCCTATGATGGTTTGTTTCCATGAGAACCAACTTGATAAGGTCAGGCGCAGACAGAGGCCATGCCTGCGGGGCACATACATGAGGACAGCTGGCTGGTCGATGGGCAAAGACAGCGGGAGAGGAGGTCACTGCGGGCTCTCTCCCAGCAGGAAGGTGACAGGCTCTTGAGACAGAGCCCTTGCGCTGTGCCCTGCCCTCCCTCCCCCTGCACAAATGTGATTAGGTCCCAGCAGAGCCGGCTGAAATCAGGTTAGCGTCACTGAGCAGTGCTGAGCTGGAGTAATCAGAGCCCGGAGCACAGCAGGTGCTGACTTTAAAGTGGCTTCTGAGAATTAGGGCAAGCTGACTTGTAGCTGGGCGCCACGTAGACAGCCATCCAGGACACTGCCCACGCAGCCCCCATGGCATATACGCACCACAGCCTGGCCTACCACAGGTCTCCCTCTCCAGTGCAAAGTGCTGAGCTTGTTGGCCCAGCCTTTGGCAGGGCCCAGGGCACTGGCTTCTTAAACTGGCTGTGCAGTGACTAGGGTCCTTAGGTCCTGCCTTCCCAAGGCATGGCAGGGCGGCAAGTATTAGCCAAGTCTGGGAGCCACGTCTGGGCCATCCTTGCTTGCCCATGTGTCCTTGGACAGTCACCCACAGCTCGGGGCTTCACTTAAATCAACTATAAAGTAAGGATCATGAGTGAATCTAATGCATAAGGATGCCGTGACGATGAAACATAATATATGCAAAGCTCTCGTCCTCAGGCCTGGCATAGGGTTTGCACTCAGTAAGGGCACTCTCTTATCTCCACAGAGGCCACTCATAGGAGATGGCAGGATTTTATTGTTTCTACAAAATATATCTCATGTTCTGAACAACAACAACAAATCAATAATTACGTAAGAATTTAAGAATAACAGTTTCTGTTACCCACAGTCTAATCTTGAGAGATAAGTAGTATTGTTTTGTGAACATCATCCTATGAAGTTGTCATAAAAGTCATGACGCATTTTTGCACAGAAAACTGCACCATGGCTTTTATGACAATCTAATAGATTCTCTTCTATGTACACAGTAGTAGATCAAAAAATCATTTTCATAAGGGGATATTTAATGTTTATGGAATCTTAGTAACAGACATTATGACATTTAGTTCTATTAGCGTGAACTAAGGAAAATGAGATGAAACTAGGAATTGCTGAACTACAGATATGTCATTTTTTCCCCTTTTTTTGGTTAGTTTTTGCTATAGGGTGCGTGCACTCACCAGAGAGAGAAAGAGAAAGAGGGAAAGTGAGAAATCACCCCACCCCCACCCCAGGGAGAATGGCCACACCTGATCTCTTCTCCTTCACTCTCCTCTTGGGATTTGGGACATGCATGCACATGAGCCCAGTGTGGTTCTCAAAACACCAGGCCTGGAACTCAAACTACGAGGTCAACTGTGTGAAATTCAACACCTTAACTTCCCTGCCATCTGCTGGCCCCAAATATATCATTTCTAAGGGACTCTTAAGGCTGGAAAAATAAGTTACAAGCAGTATTAGAACTGCTGAGTCATTCTATGTGTTTTTGTACTACATAACTTTAACTTTTTTTTTTTTTTTTTTATGACACAGATAAGAATTTTAAGATTCTCGTGCAGGGCCAGTAGGTGGTATGGTGGTTAAGGGATGAACTCCCACATGGCTGACCACAGTTGGAGTCCTGGACCCAGTGTCTTGAAAATCACACTGGGCATGTGTTTGTGTATGCCTGAAACCCCAGGAGGAAAATAGAGGAGAAGGGTTTGTGACATGGTTTCCCCCCAAGCAGTGTTTCTCACTTTCTCTCTTACTATCTCTCTCTGTCTCTCTTTCTCTGGCAAGTATACATGCCCTATGGCAAAAAAAAAAAAAAAAAAAAAAGTCTCCTGCTCTAGCAACTGAGCTAGCTGGATACCCTGAACAAAACATTCTAACTTTCCATTGTGTACCAGGGTGAAACCACAAATACCAGGGAAAACTGGCACACTGTCGTGCCTTCCCATTAAATGACTCCACTTGTCAAAAGGAAGTAAATGGAATGAGGAGGGCACAGGTAGACGTTCAGAGAAAGGAGTCTGAGAGTGCAAGGGAAGAACGGAGGCCTGAACAGTACACATCGGCACCTTAAACCCGGCAGGTCCCAAAGCCATTTCTCTAGTGTAGTAGGTGAGAAATAAAAACCCAGTGAGCTGCCCATGTGACACAGAGCTGAACTCCAACCCAAGTCTGTTCGCCCCAAGGACGTGGCTTAATTGTCTCTGTGTTAATTGTGCATTTTTGGTTTTTATTTCTGTGTCTGATGTTTTGCTATTTTGGGGCTATGACCCTAGAGGGACTGACCTCTCAAGGAGAACCAGTCCAGGAGCTATTCAGGGATTCCAATGAAGCATAGCTTTCATATGCAAACAACTCCATCCAGAGCAGGCACCCCATCACCCTCATGTGGAGCTCCAACCCCAGAGAGGTTGGAGTAAACAGCTGCCCTGTTTACTCCAGAGCCAGACACTAGACAGCTAGAATCATTCCCTCTGTCCTAAGCCTGCTGGAATTGTCAAAGTCAGCCCTAATTAGTCAACCCTAAGTCCACCTATTCCTTCCATGAAGACCACAGGAAAGGCCCCTGGCCACGTTCACCTCACACTGCTCTGCCTCCTGACCCGCTCTGGTTCTTCTGCAGGTAGCCATGCACAGCGTGGTGCGTCCCCTTCTTTAGGGCATTGTGGGTAACAAACTGTCTTCTGTGGCAGTTGCTGCTGCTCTGCTGGACTCTCCATACCAGATTAGTAATAAAACCTCCATGTTATAACAATCTGCCTCTGCTCAGCCCCAGCAGTCCTGGGGACACCGTCTGTCCTGGGTGGAGCTCAGGAATACCGTGAGCCTAACCAGGCTCCAGCCAGAACCTGCTCCTGTAATTGAGCACAGAACAACAGTAGTTCCCGGACAGGGGTCAGCTCTCTGAGAACCCAGGCAGCAGAGAGCACCACGCAGGGCCCTCTGCTGAGTCACTCATGGGGCAGACACTGATACCTGGCAAGAGCAGCTGGACTCTCACTAAGAGACAAATTTGGTCTCTGAAGTTTTGAGGGAAATGGAACCAGGAAGGCCCGAGACAGGCTTCTAATGTATGAATTTCTCACCTCTCCATCTCCATCCTCAGGGACGCAGTGTTACTGAGTCCTGAGTGGCACCTCAGTAAAGATTCTGTAAGTTGAATTAAATTTTATACTTTTGTCACATTCAAGGAAAAATGTCATTACCCAGATAGTACACGAGTTTCCTAATCCGTTAGGCTCTTTGGTTTTGTAAATATGCTATGCTTTTCGATCATTTGGAGATAGTTTCAATTCAGCAAATACAGTACAGCACCCATTTCATGTCAATCAAGGTGCAAATTCCCAGCAATTTGAAGAAATAAGACATGGACCATGGTTTCGAGAGCTTTCTGGGTCTGAAAGGAAAGCCAGATCTGTGTGTGGGAGTAACAGGAGTCAGGCTGCACTAAGGTCATCACCAAGTGCTCAGAGCACAGGAGAGAGCTCAGGGACACACTCCACCTTTCCAGCCATGGGACCCACGGCTTCCGACATGTTCCCAGCACACCCTTCTAGACTATTTTCAACACAAGTCCTGCTCTCTCTTGAGCCTCTGTGAGCTGAGGTTAATCCCTGGGAGAGGCTTCACTCAGAGAGAGAGTCTGAGTAAAGCTAGTAATGATAGAATGTTCTTGGTCAACTCCTGGGGTGGCTCTCAGTGACTTCAAAGTCCTTTGCAGAGTAAAGCTAGTGATGATAGAACGTTCTTGGTCAACTCTTGGGGTGGCTCTCAGTGACTTCAAAGTCCTTTGCTTTTTCAAGTTTATTTATTTCTTCTTTGAGTCAGAGAGACAGAAAGACAGGCAGGTACCCCCAATAGGGTCTCTATACCACACTCCACTTCCAGCTTCAGCCAGTCCTGGACTGTGGACACTTGTATGCCTGCCATATCCAGGGAGACCTCTGGACTTGAACAGGGAACCTTCTTAATTGTGATGCCCCAGCAGAGAGTCATGCTCTACTGCTGTGCATATTTACTGGCTTCCAAAGGTTGATCTTGAAAAACAGCTTCCCACTAATGGCTTGAGCAATCCCAGCAGGACTACAGTGCATTATATATATATATATTTAAGAATTTTTATTTAACTTTATTTATTTCTTAATTTGACCATAGAGTGATAGCGTGAGAGAGAAAAGGGGGAGGGAGAAAGGAAGCAAGCTGCCAGGTCCACAGTTGGTCATGAGGGAGTCCAACGCCCTTAACCACCAAGCCACCTGCCAGCTCCAGTGCATAATATTTCTGATATGCTTGCTCTATGTGCTAGACACGCATACACACAACACCACATACTATGGGAAAAAAAAAAAAAAAACAGGCCACCTACTTCATAGTAGTACCTATGATCTTACAGTCAATATATGCACTTAGGTCTCAGAAAGTAGAGTGGGGGGCTAGCTCTCCACACAGTTGAGTGCTTCATTTCTGCACTGTGGATAATCTTTCACAAGTTCTCTGCTTTTAGCCTCACAGCTTAGTCTTCTATATGTAGAGCTATTTCTCTTATCCATTCTGCTGCTCTCACCTACAGACTACTGAATGGGCCTTGATGGGTTTACACCTCCCTTGAGCAGATATTCATTTCTAGACCTTGCCTAGCCTATGGGCAATGGCGTATGGGGGTTACATGCGGATAACATGTCTGCTCTTTCCTCTCCAGGTGGTCGCAACACTGGGGACCACGTCTTGCTGCTCCTTTGACAATCTCTTAGAAGTGGGTCCTGTTTGTAAGTACCTGATTCTCCTTTCATGTGGGAAATATGCTCAGTACGGGGAAAGTTTAGCAGCCCTACCTCACGGGCTCTCTCCCTTGTCTCTCACTCCACTTTATGATCATTTGCCAGATTCTTCTTGTATTTGGAATAACACAAACTTCATTAGCTTAAACTCTGAGAACTCAGAATTTAGGTGAGTTGGACAAAATAAATGAGCTTATCTCTACCAACACACTATCTTTAAGATAAAGGTGTTCTGAGCAATATAAGGAGACATCAAAAAGTTTGTGGAAAAATGAAATGAGAGTTCATTTTGAAAAATTAAAATTTTTTTTTTATTTTTAAAATTTATTTATTTATTTTTGGAGAGGATTTTTCACTATAGGGCGCGTGCGCTCGCCAGACAGACAGAGAGAGACATAGAGACAGAAAGCGAGTAATCACCCCCCATGGGGGATGGTCACGCCGCAATCCCTTCTCCTCCATTCTCCTCTCGGGATCTTGGGCACGTACGCACACGTGCCCGGCGTGAGCTTTAAGCCACGGGGTCCGGGACGCGAACCGTGGTCGACTACGTGGGAGTCCAGCGACATAGCCATTACGCTAACAGCTGGTTCCCCAAAAAATTTAAAAATTTTTTGAAATCCTTGATGTTTTTTCATGCATTTTCCAAAGATTTTTTTTTTTGAAGACCCCTCACATAACAGTGAAAGGATATTGCAGATGATGTTGGCCCTGTTGGCAAGAATAAGCTTCTAAATCTCAGAAAGACTCCCTTCAGATGAGGGGGAATATATACATGCCATGTGAGAATTGTCCATGCTCGAGTTTAGTGTAGGCACATCCTTTGTGTTTTGTTTGTTTGTTTTAAAAAGACATGCAGTGTATTCATGCTGGGAAAGTTCATTTTGAATGGTGTAAAGATGCACAGTGATTAAATGTAAAAAGATAAGAAAATAAAAGAAAGAAAGGAAAAACATTGCTATAGGGCACACATACTTGCTGGAAAGAGAGGGAAAGTGAGAAATCATGCTCCGAGGGGATGGCCACGCACAATTCCTTTTCCTCCATTCTCTCGGGATTTGGGGCATGCATGCACATGTACCTGGTGTGTTTTACAAGCTGCCAGTCCCAGGACTTGAAGTGGATAGTTGGCCGTGTTGGATCCAGCACCTTAACCCCCATGCCATAGGCCAGCCTGGCATATCCTTTTTTTAGCCTTTTGTGGAATAGGCAAATGTAGTTAAGGAAACTGCTTAAGGTAATCTGACGAATCAGTACACTAGAACTGGTTTTCTTCAAAGAACAATCTGTGCTTTGGATATCCTCCTGGATGGACCTCAGCTTGTTCCTCCTCTAGTCAGGGCCCTTACATTTCCTGACAGATATGAGAATTGTGTGTTTTCGAAGGCAAACAAGAATAAGTATCTGTGTTTTGCCTCTAGCCTGTGGCTCTGGGAGCTCAGCAGGTTTTGGAGCTGTTCCTGTGGACAAAGAGCTCTCCTGGGGCAGGGACCGTGGAGCAGGGAACGCCTTGTCTCTGCCTCTCCAGGCTATGAGCATTCCAAGGCTCTGGGTGTGCTCCACTCGTCTGTCAGGCTCTCAGACCACATAGCCGCGGCTTGTACCCGATACCACGCCAACTGCGCAGCAACCAACCCATGTTTGGTCTGCGTGAACAGAGCACAACACTCACATCTCCTCCCTGGGACGTCTCAGTCCACAATTAGAGGAGCGGACCTCAGCTCCTGCACCGGCCTCCCATCTCAGGATCAGCAGCAGGGTGTCCGGTGTTCGAGGTGTCCTACCTAGTGTGATGTGTCTAGGATGGTCTGGGCATGGCGCTGGTGACAGAGAAGCTCTGGGCCTGTGGGCCCACCCTTAACAGCTGCATGCCTTGAATTCTGACCTTCATTTTCCACAATTGTAAAGTGGAGAGAAAAACGCCTATAATTGAAAAATAATATTTCCCTTGCAAGATTATTCAGAGGACAAGTTGATGCTGGGGAAGCGTGCTGTCTGTTGGAAGGTCGAGAGTACAGTACAGCTTGTACTGCAAGGAGGTGATGTCAGAAACCAGCTGTGAGCAGCTGGGTGGGGGCTGCGCTCAGATTGGCCCACTGCACAAGTCTGGGTCCGCCATTTCTCACGGGCAGCAGACATCAATAGGGAAACTGGCTGATGGCAGTCGTGCACAGCCTGGGGCTGGGAAGAAGGGACAGAACTGGCCGGCTCGAGCGAAGGCTGCAGTGTTGGCCTCCTGACTGCAAACCTTCATCAGCTCAATCAAGCGGTTTGGACTCCTCTGACTCAGATGTCAGGCCAGGAACTGCACGTCCTGGCCCAGGGCTGCCTGATGTCATCACCAGCTCTCAGACTCAAAGAGCTGAGGCCTTCTCCTGGACAAAGCCCATGCCACCGGCTGTCCGCTGAGCCTAGTTCTGGCTGCCTGCTACCAGACCAGAGAGATGACAGCCAGTTGGTGGCATTTGCTGTTCATGGTCCCCTGGACAAACCCAGCTCAGTCCTGGGGCTCCCACTGTTTTGCAGGGCGTGGGGCAGAGCTGCATCTGTGATTCATTGGTTTCTAGCATCCAGGTTGCTTCTGGAGTAATGCTGAAGGAGCTGACATGAGCAAATGCCAAAACCCTTCCAGTCATTGCTAAACTGTTCATATGGGAGGCTTTTTCCCCCCATAGGGCTCAGGTCCTTACCAGAGAGAAATAAGAGAGGGAAAGTAAGAAATTACCCTCCTTCCCCACCTCCGGGGAATGGCCATGCCCCAATACCTTCTCCTGGGATTCTGAGTATGCACACGGCGTGATTTTCAAGCCCTCAGGTCCAGGACCTGAACAGTGGGAAGGATGCGGGAGTCCAACACTTTAACCACCACGCCACCTGCTGGCCCAATATTTATTTTTATTGACAAGATGTCACTAACCATTCCTAGTGCCCTCCCAAATAAGGCAGCACCATTTTTATTTCCTCCCCCCTACACACACACACACACACACACACACACACACACACACACGATCTGTTACCGTTTACTTGACTATTACCAAATATTCAGCATGCTTCAACTCTAATCAGGACCATTCATTAATCCTAAGCTGACCTTATTTTATGGTCTGACTAAAATAATGTGTTAAAATAATTCAGATAAGCTTTTCAACCTCCATCATTTGACAAAGAAAGCAAATCAGAAGTTCGTCTTTTTAAAAATGATTTTTCAAATTGTTGCTTTAGAAAACATGATTTCTTTTTAGCCCGTGTTTAGGTGACTTGTGAGAGAGGCTGTTTAAATGGATCAGCCTGGGCTGATCACTTGGGCAGTCTTACTGAGAAGAGGATGTGATACAAAACATGGATACCTGAAGTCAGGTGCCAGGTGTGACAGTGGGGAAACAGGACAGGTGTCCCAGCTGAGCAGTGGAGGCCCAGGGTGTAGGAAGTGGGCAGTGCAGGGCAGGCTGCCAAAGACCAGTCCTGAGGGCCAGGGTGGCCGGGACTGGGGTCTGCAGCAGAAGGCACAGCCTCCCAAGGAAACAGGTGCCATCAGCAGAGGGCTCTGAAGGGGGTCCTTTTCTCTCAGCCCGGGTGGCCTTGCCCTTGGTGCATGTATCTCTCGGAGTTCCTGGAGCTTCTATTTGGTTCCCTGACGTGCCCGAACGGGAGGGAGGGGCCAGCAGGAAGGTTGGCCAATCTCATATAAGATGCATGGCACAGAGGGAGGGACCAGCAGGAAGCGTGGCTATCAGCCAATCACATGTAAGAAACAGAGTACACAGGTGACTTCAAGGGATTTTTACTTCCCTGTGGAAAAGAGAGGCCCCTACAGAGTGGGGTGGGTTCTGCAAGTTCCTTCTGTGGGACTGTTAGGCCAACTACCATCTACGGGGAACAGAAAACTGTGCTCCAGGGGACTCTCTCATTTCGGACACCCATCCCAAGTTGGAGATGGGTTCTCTAAATATCTGCAGGTTCCATAATCTGCTTGAAGACTCATAGAACTCAGAAAGCTACAGTCATGGTTAAGGTTTATTACAGAGATTAAAATCTGCGAAGGAGGAGATGCACGGGGCAGGATCTAAGAGGACAGCAGCGTGGAGCTTCTTGTCCCCCCCATAGAGTCATGATGGTGTTAACTCCCCTGTCATGGCGTGTCACAGTATGCATGGTCAGGACACACCTCCCTATCAGGCAAACTCATGGAGCCTTTGGTGTCAGAACTTCTGCTTGCATGGCTGACCTTGGGTCTCTAGCCCCTCCTGAAAATCCAGCTAATACCTTTACTAATTCGTTCCTCCTGAGGTCAGAACTAATATGGCATGGCCCAAAGCCTCCCTCATAAATCATATCATTAAACTGTTGGGACCAAAGTCCTAGCAAACATAGTTACTCCAATCAGGAAGGACATTCTAGAGGCCTGGAGATCACCTTCCAGGAACCAAGGGCAAAGGTTAGATTTTGGGGGGCGCAGTTGATTCTCTACCACACACCTTCTGTCTGGAGCTCCACCTCCACCCTGAGTAATTCAGACAGAATGGAACATTTTTAGCCAGTGGTTTTGAAGGGCCAGGTCAAGGGGCCACACCTGGGAAGGGTCTCCTGTTGTGGGGACGTTCGGCAGAATCCCAAGGTGGCACAGAGCATTACATGATGAGAGCAAGAGCCAGCGTCCGTCTGTCTCATCATCCCACCTAAACCCATCAGGAGTCAATCATGGGGCTGCACACTGATCAGACCTAATCCAAATCTCCTCCCAAGGGCCTTACCTTTCAACACTATAGTTGGATTAAGTTCTCACCCTTTAATCCTGTCACTGCCAAATTTCAACACATGAATTCTGGGGGGACATATTCAAGCTAGAGGAACCATCTTACCCTTTGTCTTATGGCAAAGAGAGGAGAAAACAGAGGGGTGAAAGAGAATAGAGCCTGTCTGCCCTTCTCCTCTCTGATGATTCCCCCCATTCCTTGACTTAAGTGTTTCCTAACTCATCTCCCAGTTCAGGCCTAGAATTCTGCTCAGCATTCCCTGCATTCAACAGTCCTGAAGTGAACACAAACGTTGGTGTCTCTTAAACGCTCCCAAAGGACCTCAAAGAGAAAAGGAAAAGACAGAAAAGCACATTCTGATACTACAGGTCAGGGGACAGCCTTAGCAGTCCCATGGAAAGAGCAAAACCTTGTAGTCTTAGTCTTTCCATGCTGCTATAACACAATTCCCCAATAGAGGAGACTTGTAAATAGCAGGACTTTACTTCCCACATTCTGGAGGCTGGACGTCCAAGATCAAGGCACTGGCAAATTTGATGTCTGGGAGGATCCACTTTCTGGTTTCTAGATGGCGTCTTCTCGCTATGTCCTCACAAGCGTTAGGGATATCCTTGGGGCCTCTTTTATAAGGGAACTAATTCCATTTTTAAGGACTCTTACCTTCGAGATGTAATTCCTTCCTGAAGGTCTCACCTCCTAATACCATCCTATTAGGGGTTAGGATTTCAACGTGTAGATCTGGAAGGGACACAAACTTCAGACCTTAGCATACTCTGACAGATCCCATGCTGGAATCTGGCTTCTGTTGAGCCCAGGCTATATCTGAGCCATAACCATGATGGTCATCCCATCATTAGTGATTGGCTCCTTGGGAAGGTGCCTCATATTGTCCTAGGACTCTGCTCTGAATAACTGTGACTGCATTTATTGTGGCCATGTGAGCTCCAGCTGGGACTGATCCTGGGAGAGGTGGCAAACTCAGACATCACCTTCCACCTGGCTGGAGTGTCACCTTGCGGCAGGATCTGTTGCCTCACATTGCCCTGGCATGAAGGTATCTATGTCCTCAGGACACGTTTGATGCTGATCCAACTAAGGGCTTTAATCCCCTCAATCCTAAAGCTCAAACTCAGCCAAAGCTTTGAAATGCCTTTCATAACTTTCATGTGCAGTGCTTAGAGCAACTTATCACTGCTCATAGCATGAAGGTTAATGAGCACCGTGTATGGAAAAGCGATGAAGGGTCCTTCTATCCATAGGAGTGTAAGTGCTGTCTCTCACTTGCTGCCTGGTACTTGGCATCTTCGCCTGAAAAAGAAAAGGGTGGCCTGCATCCTCCTTGTAATCCTTCACCCTCCAGTTCTTACCTGTTTCATGACAGTGCCAGGTGCCCCAGGACAAAGGGACATAGTAACCATGAAAATCACATGTATTTCTCATGGACTATGTGGGGTCTTAATAGGCACTTTATGAACATTACCTGGTTTATTCCTCAGATGTATGGATATTACCACTATCCCCATTTTGCCCATGAGGATCACAAGGCTTGGAGGAGGTAGACAAGGCCATGTGGCGGCTGCACAGTTGAAGGCAGGAGCTGAGTGGAGCCCAGACATGTCTGAGTTGAGGGAGCAGTGCTTCCAAGGAGGAACCCCACCTCCAGACTCAGGTGTGGTTTCTGCTTGCAAGGCTATTCTGGTATGGTTGGAAAACAAAGATCACATTTATGAAGAGAGCTAGAGAATGATATAAGATGATGCAAAATAGGGTCAACTGGTCATGTGGTGGTTAAGGCAGCTGGATCCCACAAGGCTGACTGAGCAGTTCGAGTCCCAAACTCGGTGGCTCGAAAAACACACTGGGTGGGAGCCAGCAGATGGTGTAGTGGTTAAGGCACTGGACTCTCACATGGCCAACTCTAGTTCAAGTCCAAGACCTGGCAGATTGAAAATTATGCTGAGTACATGTACATGCATACCTAAAGTCCCAAGAAGAGAATGGAGAAGAGAGTGTAGTGTGGCCATCCCCCTAAGGGGTGATTTCTCCCTTTCCCTTTTACTGGCTCTGTCTCTCTCTGGTGAGTGCATGTGCCCTATGGTAAGAAAAAAAGAAAAACAAGGTGAGGTTCCCGAGTACCAGGCAGCAGGGGTCCAGACATTGATCCCATTGCCTCCTACTCTCCAAGTGCTTGTGAGTACCTGATTTGTGTCTGGGTCAATAGCACACACTTCTGCCCTCAGCTTCTGCTTGCAGATGAGAGGGCTGTTTAGGTATTTGCCCATTAGTTCCACAAATCCTGTGGAGATGCTCTATGCAAAAAGGAGAAGACAGGTCAACTGTCAGACTCCACATGACGAGGGCTTCCATTTGAGACTCACAGGTTGCTTCTGACTTTAGGCAACAAGGAGGAGGTGTGGCTACACATCGATGCTGCCTACGCTGGCAGCGCCTTCATCTGCCCTGAGTTCCGGCATCTTTTGAACGGAGTGGAGGTAGGTAGTGCTGTATCCTTTAATACAGGTTTTTCTTTTTCTTCTTATTTACTTTCTCTTTCTTTCCTTCTTTCTTTCTTTCTTTCTTTCTTTCTTTCTTTCTTTCTTTCTTTCTTTCTTTCTTTTTTTCTTTTTTTGGTTTTGCTACAAGGTGCATGTGCTTGCTAGAGAGAGAAAGTGAAAGTGAGAAAGCCCCCCTGGAGGAATGGTCATGCCACAATCCCCTCTTCTCCATTTCCCCCTGGGAACCCTGGGTATATGTGCTCAAGTGCTTGGTGTGTTTTTCAAACCATCAAGTATGGGACTCGAACCACATAGCTGGGCCACATGGGATCCAGCTTCCTCAACCACCTGGCTGGCCCAATTAAGTCATTTTTTTTTAAGTACTATTACCAGTGACTTCTCCCTTTATATATGACATTTAATTTCTCATCCCATTGTGGTTTGCTTCAGCAAATTATTTTTGAACCAATTCCAGTGAGTATGGGAATCCTGTCCTCTTCAGGACAGGAGCTGAGAATCTTTCCCCATACAGCCTGATTTCTTGAAAAATTCCTTCTGGTAACCACTGATTTTCATTCTATAAAACTCCAGAGCAGAGCTGTTATAGGAGGATCAATTTTAGCTTATAAAACCATGGGGAAACATTCAGGAACAAAATAACATCTTCATGCACTTCAGCTCATGAGTGTAATCTAAAACACCAACCTGCAATTCCATATAATCTGGTTTGATATGGCAGCACGTGCTGGCCACACATCTGAGCACGCTGCTCACTTAACAATATCGAACAAGCAGTTCAGTGCATTTCAATGACCTATGTCCTCCAGTGGAGATTCTCACATGAGACCTGCAATGTCAAGTAAAACACCTGGTTCTTTGGAAAAATAGTAATCAGCATTATTGACTGGTCCTCTGCATCTGCCCAGAGCCTCAGAATGCAAAATGGTACAAACTTAACCCAAAGAAACCACCTTTTGAATGTGCTATGATGTGTTACCTCAGGCTCCAGGAGGATTTCATGTTTAGCAGCAGCCCATGGACCAGGAAGTTCCTTCTTCCCAATGAAGAGGTAGAATTTGGCCAAGTATCCAGGGGAAGGAGATCATAAATTAGGGAAGCAGTGGCCCTGCCAGGAAAGAGATGCTTTCGGCTTAGAAGCTTGGGGTTGGTCAGACCTCAGCCACATGTGATCCATTGAAGCTGCCCGGTTTGAATCCCGGCTTTACCTTTAGAACTATGCACCCTTGGGCAGGTTAACTATCCTTGCTTACCAAACAGATTTCGTGATGATACCCCCTTTGAGAGACTACTATAGGAATAGATGAGTTAATCATATTTGCAGGGTTTAAAGGCAGTGCTTCTCAGTGATAACTGATCATGCATGAGATGCATTTATTATTTTTCTCCCTGGCTTGGAGAAACTTCTCAAAATCTCTCTCTGCTCCCATGGCAGATTTGCCAATCAATTTTCTAATTACCACTTTAAGTTCTCATAATGCTGTAATACCAGACAACTGGATGTCAAAGGTATAGAATACAAATGGTTCCATTTTGAGAAGCATAATCCGCTTATTACTAATGAATAAAGAAACATTCAGGTTTATGCACCCATCACATTCATTCATTCCCTCATTTATTTGATAATTACTTATCGAACACTTCATATGTTCTAGGGTTTAGCTGGATCCTTGGGGATAAATGGAGCTTCCAAAGGCCTGTCTAAGTGTTGGGGAGGGGCCCAGTGTGTGAGAAGTCCTGATAACACTAGGCCGATACCCAGCCCTCTACAGTGCATGGATGATAGTGGGTTTGCCAGTGCTTGGTGCTGAGAAATAAAGAATAAAGCTCTATATCATATAAATATTCTTTATTGTGGAGATAAGATTCACCATTTGAAATGTCTGTCGGTAGAAAGTTCTGAGGATACAAAAGCTATGCATTTATCTCAGTTTTAAGTCCCCTCCCCAAGGCTCGGCCTGGGTCGATGCCCTTTCTAACTCCTGGTATCAGGTGTAGACTTCTATGAGCTTTCCCTTGCACTATTCTTCTCTTCCTCATGAACTGACAACTTGAGGTCTCAGCTTTCACAGAAGGATGCCTGATGGTCAGACCACCGGGCAAGGGGCCTTCCAGCAAGATCCTATCAGCAGCAGACACTGTTTCATGCCCAACAATGAGTCATTTCAATTTTTCCTCCATTATTGCTTGACTCTCTCCCTAGCTGACTGAGGGTTCCGCTGCTCTGTGGGCAGATAAGGGCTGCAATATCCTGCTGAGGCCCTCCCCTGGGAGATAAGAGCCTTTCTCTCTATCAGCAGGAGGAAAATATCGCTGCTGGGAAATGAAAGAAGTTTAAACAGATCAGCCCCATAGGAGAGAACTAATAAAATTCCTAGCAAACAAAACTCCTCTTTAACCTCTCCTTTCTCTTTATCAACAAATGAAACTTGCCTTCATTTCCTGTCACCTTGAAATTACCTTTGTTGAAATCTGGAAGGAAATGAATCTGTACCTCCAGGGTGGGTTGTCTGGAGGTTGCTGTCTATGGATGGGTCTCCCCATTGACTGGACCAGGGCCCGATCAGGACCTTTACATTTTTACTACCTGCTAGGTGCTCCACCCTAGAAGAAGAAGTATCCCATAGCCTCCAGAAGGCTGGAAAGCTTCCCTTAGGCAATTTCTCTACACAGGGCCTTGCAATGGCAGCTGACTCTGTTTCTGCCATGGCCTGTCCCTGGCCCTTCAGATGACTCTAGGCCCCATCCGCCAGTCAGATGATTAAACCAGGGCTTCCATTTTTAAAAATTAAAAAAGTGCCAGTTCTAACAGCTCAAACAAAATGCAGAGTACCCACCTTGGCCACTCTTGGTAGCCGGAGTTCTATGTTCCCCTTGAAAATATATGACGCCCTTAATGTTGTTGTGAAAACTGAAACCAGTATCTTCCAGGCAGAGGGTCTGTAACTGTTAGGAATACAATGACCTTTAAAACTGTCTTAGAAAAAAAGGATTATTAATACTTAGTGCCAATGTTGGCAAAAGAACCAGTCATTTAGGTGGAAAATGACTTTATCCTGATTTATGGTCGATTTAGTTATGAAATTTTCACTTTCCCATTGTTTACAATGGTACATATTAGGTTGTCAAGAAAGCCATGACATATTTTCCTGTGCAAAAATATCTCATGACTTCCCCAATGACCCAATATAGTCTGAGAATGTTGCTAGTTCATGAAGTTTAGGAACAACAGGCATAAAGTATGTCATAGACCAAAACAGTAGAGTTTTGGGACATAGTATTTACAAATTAAATTCTGACTATTTCAAATATTCCAGTAGTTTTAAATACAATATGGATAAATTTTATGTGATTTCAGACTACGTACATTTGTAAGTGCTTTTTATTTGAGAATACAGACTTTTGGTTACTAGCTATGGGGTCTTATTTTATATCTGAACAGTTATAACTGAGACGTTTTCTTTTGTGTTTCTTATTCCTTGGCAGTTTGCAGATTCATTTAACTTTAATCCCCACAAATGGCTGCTGGTGAATTTTGACTGCTCTGCCATGTGGTAAGTTTCCCTGTTCATTAGATTCCAGGTACCAGTGACAGTTGCTCCCCAGACTTGATGGTCTCTCCAAAAGAAAGCTGGATGGGAAGGGCCTTAGGGCCAGAGGAGCTTGTCAACTTCCTTAACTCACCTCTGCTTCTATTTCTGAACCATTGGTGAAATTCTTGCTAAATCTTCCTCTGGTTGTAAACCTTATCTAGAACATATCATTGCAACATATTGCATCAGAACAGAGAAAGTGGGCAAGTGGGTGAAATGGTGGTTGAGGTGCTGGACTCCCATAGGACCAACTGTGATTCAAGTCCTGGGCCTGGCACCTGGCAGCTTGCTTTCTCACTTTCCACTTTCTCTCTCCCTCTCTCCCTCTCTCGTCAAATTAGAAATGTGATAGAGATGAATAAAATTAAATAAGATAATTAGTTTTTAAAATGTTTGAGTTCTTCATTCAAAAAAAAAAAAAAAGAACAGAGAAAGTTTTGTGAGACCATGCGTACTTTGACTTATCTAGCATTAACAGAGCACAAACGCAAGCAAATTTTAGTACATCTAATTTCACTGCTTCTGTGTTTTATTCTTAGATTTGTTATCAGTCTTAGTTTAATGCTAAGTTTAAGCAATTTAAGTTAAAATGTTTCAGAGCATTTGCTTAGAAAAAAATCAAAGTAACTCTGCTTCCTAAGAATTTCCCTGGAAATTGCTAATACCAATGCCATAATCACTTTGGTTATATTTAGAGTAAGAAAAAGAACTCAAAAGTTCAAGTGGGGGATATTTCATCACATAGATGATGTTTAAAGAAATAATGATGACTGGGATGGTATGGAGAGACTAGAAACTGGTTCCTCTAGTTTTTCAGAGTGAGAGGTTGATTTAATAAATCGTAGAACCAGGAGCTTTGCATGAATTTTGTACCAGATTGGTATGTCATTGAACTCAGGCTTTTCACCTTAGAAATGTGATGAAAGCAGGTCATATTCAACCCAAGTGCAGTCAGCTCTCTCAGGTTGCCCTTTTACTCCAGGCTGGGTATCTCTTTTCCAAAATGCCTGGGACTATTAATGGAAATGTTTTGGATTGCAGGTTTGAGGTATTTTTTGTTTTGTTTTGTTTTCCCAGATCTTGGAAAATTTACATACACTTAATGAGATATTTTGTGGAGGGGTCCAAATCTAAAAATGAAAGGCATTTGTGTTTCATATATACCTTATACACATAGCTTAAAGCTAATTTTATATGATATTTTGGTATTGCAGCATTTTTTTAAGTTATTTCTTCCATGATATATGAAAGAGAGAGAGAGAGGGTCCCCATGCTACAATCCTTCCCCAGCCTCAACTAGCCTGCATCATGGGGATACACTTGGTGCGCTACAGGAGGTCCTGGGACACAAAGCCAGGACCTTTCCCATGTGGCCCAGCATGTTACCACTGCGCCATGACCTGACACTGTATTGTATTTTGACTGCAGCCCAGGTTAGGTGTGGAATTTTCCACGGTGGCTTTAGGTTGGCACTCAAAAGTTTCAAATTTTGAAGAATTTCAGATTTTATATTTTCAGAGTAGGGAGACTCAACCTGTTGTTGGTCTAAAGGCAAAATACCTTTCTAGTCCTTTACTTCTGTTTAAATCAAATTCTTTCTGTCATAATCTTTTCCCCAAATGTGTGATATATGACTGTAAAACTGATTGTAGGTATGATTGTAAACCATAGATTAGAAATCTATGGTTTAATTCTGGCTAAACCATTTCAGGTTTAATTTTATTTGAAATGCTAATAAGGATTTATAGAAGGTATAGCATTTATGAAGGTAGGTATCATTTTATGTTCTTTTCTATTTTATCTATAGTGAGACACAGTGAGAACAGTTTATTGATTGTTGATTGGTCCCATTTTCTCTCTGAATACTGAAAATAGTTCTTATTTATGTACTTATTTAGAGAGATTTGTTTGCCATAGGGCATATGTGCTTGCAGAGAGATAGAAAGACAAAGAGACAGAGAAAGAGAGAGAAAGCGAGAAATCATGCCCTGGGGGGGGATGGGCACACCACAATTCCTTCTCCTCTATTCTCCTCTCAGGATTTTGGGCACACATGCACATGCATGCAGCATGGTTTTAAGCTGCCAGTTCCGGGACTCCAACCATGGCTGATTACGTGGGAGTCCAAGGATATGACCATTACACCATCTGCTGGTCCCAATAGTTCTTAATTTTAGTACAGGATATACAGCCAAAGGCAAAAGATAGATGAATAGAGATACCACAGCTCTCCACTCCCAGCTGTGTATACTGGGTGGAGGTCCATCCCGTCTGAGTTTGCAGAGCTGTGAGGGCTGATGTGCCTTGCAAAGTACACAGTGACAGGGAGTAGGGAATGAAGGCTGAGAACCTACTCAGTTTGGCCCTGTCCTGAGTCTCTGTGCAACAAAAATAAATATTTTGCTAGTTTAGGAAATTGTCATACTAACTCGAGCTGTCCTAACACAATAGAGTACAGTTTAAAAAGACACTTGCAGGGACCAGCAGTTAGCGTAATGACTATGTCGCTGGATTCCCATGTAGTCGACTGCGGTTCGCGTTCCAGAACCAGTGGCTTAAACTCACAGCGGGCGTGTGTATGTGCGTGCCCAAGATCCCGAGAGAAGAATGGAGGAGAAGGGATGGCAGCGTGGCCATTCCCCCTGGGGGGTGATGTCTCGCTTTCTGTCTCTCTGTCTCTCTCTGTCTCTCTGCCGATCGAACGTGCCCTATAGCAAAAAAAGAAAAAAACTCTCCAAAAATAGAAAAAAAAAAAAAAAAGACACTTGTAAGAGCCAGAATTCAGAAAAGTGTAGGTATCTCTCTGCAATTCTAAGAATTGGAAACAAGCAAGCAATTATTAGTTTTAAATGTTTTACATATATATTTTAATATTTCGCAAATAGAAGAAATAACATACAAATGGATTTTTAAAATTGCTCTCACTGGCTTTTTGTATTCCTTAAAATAAAGTGTCTCTCTTTTATTTCATGAAATTTTACCAATAGTTTGGTCCAGAATTTAACATAAACTCTTTTGTTATATTCTTTCAATATTTAAATGGACAAGATAATTGAAGTTTCTAAAACTGGCAATCATGATAAGCACAGTAACTATGTTTCATAATGATTTTATTTTCTGCTCATAAGCTTTTTATTGTTCATGTGGTATTTCGAATCTTTTATAAGTAAATATGAATCATTCTGGTCAGTTTAATATCTCTTTAATATCATCTCTTCTCTAAAGAAAGTCTCCAATTCCACATACGCCGAAGACATATATTACCTACTTAAAAAAAAAAAAAAAGCTTGATTATTTTCCATTCCAAATGAAATTTGATCACAAATTGTTTTTATAGCATTTGTACATTTCTGTTACAGTAGAGTGTTTTTTAAAATTTAGTGACTTTTGGAACCAGCAGTGGCAAAGGTTCTAGATTCCCCCATGGCTGACTGCAGTTTGAGTCTCGGATCTGGTAGCTTGCTTTCTTGCTTTCCATCTCTCTCTCTGTCTGATCAAATTGAAAAATAATAATAACAAATCAAATTAAATAAATAAATAAATCTTAAAAAATAGTGACTTTTAAAGAGTTTTAATTGCTGTGAATATGGTAAGTCTTGATTCTAGACCTTGTCTTAAGATAATTAGTACAGTATCCTTGTATCTTTTTGGTTTCTTTGCATTTTGGTTCAGGAGCCCACTAACCTTATGAATCCTGTAGTTGTAACATGAACTGTCATTCAGTAGAGCCCTCCTAGTGTGGCAGGTTTCTAAAAAATAAAACCTAAGTAAGCTAGACTTTCAACCAGCACAGGGGTCCTTTCTCCTCATTCTACAACAATGTGTCTGGCAACAGAGAGAGGTTTTTCTCATCACCAGGCCCAGACAGTGTGAGGTCACTCTAATAACTTGAAAGCTGTTTCTTTGTGCATGCATGTGTACATGCAAACGTCTATTTGGTTAAGTAAAATCCTTCTTCTTTATAATATTATATGTCACAAGGAAGTGCAAAGCTGGTGCCTAAATATTGAAAAGAAGATCACTCCAGACCCATTGGAAACCTGGGCAAATAAAGAAAGCATAGTGAGAAATTGGGAACCCTAAGAACTAAATATAAAGATAAATGTAGTGAGACATGTGGCACACAAGTAAAGCACTACTTAGAGAACAGACTTAAATGGAAACAAGGGAAGCCAATCACAAACTAAATGTTCAAATGAAGCTGGAAAATAGCAACAGGCTCCTCCTCTCCCCCAAACTAAAAGTAGGAAAGTGATAAAGGTGAACAGACATAATGAAACAGAGGGTACAGACTCAACAGAGAGGATCCAGATGCTGGTCCTTGACCCACCTAATTAAGCAAGTGATCACTGGAAAGATGGAACAAAATTAGAAAAAGAGGGGCCAGCAGGTGATGTAGTGGGCAAGGTACTGGATTCCCACATGACTGACTGTGGTTCAAGTCCAGGACCCAGTGGCTTGAAAAATCACAAATAAATAGATAAATAAATTAAATAAATGTTGAAAAATAGAAAGTAAACAGGAGAAATCACTGATAAACTGTAGTAGAAAACAAAAAGGACATAACTATGAACACTTCAGAGATTTCAAAAAAATTTAAATGCAAGCACTATGAATAACATCATGGTATAAAGGGCCCACGAATAATCAAACACAATAACTAGAAAAGACATCCTACTAAAGCTGACTTCAAGAATAAATGGGAAAAAAATCTTATCATTAGCACGGATCATGTGCCCACAGTTCAATTTCCTTACAATTAAATAGCCAAGTTTTTCTAACAGCAAGAACTCTACCAACCAGTCAGGGATGTGTCAGTCTTGACTATAAATACAATTTACAAAAAAACCAGCAAGAGAGGACAGCATGCCCTCCCTCTCCTGTGTCATCAAACAAGTCTCACCTTGGTTCCAAAGCCAGACAAGAAACTGAGAAAGAAAAATGATAGGACTGTCTCACAAATTTACATGTAAAAATCCTAAGTCAAACACTAGCAAGTAATAATCCAAGATTGTTTTTTAAAAAATAGCACATCACGACTGAATTGTGTTTATTCCAGTTATGGTGGGTAATTTAATATTAGAAGACTTTAAAAGATTATTCACCGTGCTAACAGGGAAGGAGAAATAAAGTTATCATCGTATTAGATGCAGAAAAAGCATTAGGACATAAAGTCTTAGTAAAAGAAGGACGGAGGAAAACTTTCTAAATCTTAGAAGAAATTATAATCTACCAGAAAATTATAGTAAACCTTTTCTTAAGGGTGAAATATTAGAAGCACTCCTTTAAAATCAGAAGAAAATAAGCATTCCCATTATAACCACTTCCATCCAACATTATATTCCTCAGTCTGCATAGCAGGAAACAAAAAAGACACAGAAGTGTAAGGACTAGGATGGAAGATATAGAACTCCCATTGTGCTCAATGATGTGACTGTCTGCAATAAAAAGCACCTTCAGAGTATTATAATCAATAAGAGAACACATAGGGTTGGTGGATAAAGCAGTACTATTTTCTCCCAAGTGTTTGTTATAGGGCACATGTGCTTCCTGGAGAGAGACAGAGACAGAGAGAGAGGAAAAGTAAGAAATCACCTCCCGGGAGGATAGCCACACCACAGTCCTTTCTGCTTCAGTCTTCTGTCTGGATTTTGGGCCCACATGCACACGTGTGCTCAGTGTGATTTTTCAGGTTGGGAGTCAGAGACTCGAACTACAGTCGGCCATGTGGGATCCAGAACCTTAACCTCCATGCCACCTGCTTGCCCCGACCCCTTCAGTGAAATTCTAAGAAAATTCCTGAATGGCATAATATTTTTACAGACCAAAAATAGGCAAGAGAATTATGAGGAAAACTATGCTGGGAGCCTATCTCATCATATCCATGAGTATGGGAAGTTAGTGTGGCACCAGGACAGGTAGGCAGAGAATGCAAATAGGAAGTGGGAGCCCAGGGCCAGCTGGTGGCATGGTGGTTAAGGCACTGGATCCCACATGGCTGAATGTGTGGTTCCAGTCCTGTACCCAGTGGCCAGAAAAAGCATGGATGTGTACCCAGAATCCCCTCATGGAAGGCAATTTCTCACTTTCCCCCCCTCTTTCTCTCACAAGTACACATGCCCTCTGGCAAAAATTTAAAAAAAAAAAGAAGAAGAGGAAGAAGAGACAGCTTAGAAACAGACCACTATGTACTCAAAATAGAATTCCCAATATTTACAGAATGTTTACTATCCAATATGACAGAGAAAAGCAATCTAGTAGAAAAATGACCAACAATTTATTTCCCAAAGAGGAAACAAACATGGCCTCTTAGCAACTGCAAAGTTACTCAACCACATTAGGAATCAGAAATGCAAAATCATGGTGAAACACTATCGATTTTTCAAAATAGTCTTCCTATCGTAGGGCTGGCTTCATATCCTGGTGGTTAAGGGACCAGGATTCCACATGATGCATGGCAGTGTGGATCCTGGCCCTGGTGGCTGGAAAGGCACACGAGGTGCATGTGCGTGCATGTCTCAAGTCCTGGCAGGACGGAGAAATGGAGCAGAAGGCATTGAGGCATGGTATGCCTCAGCGGGGATGCTTTCTTCTCTCGCCCTTCACCCCTACCCCTCTCAGGCAAGTGCATGTATCCTCTGGTAATAAGGGGAAAAAAAAAAGTCTTCTTTAACTAATGTTGGCCAGAGTATGGAATAAGAGAAGCTTAGGACACTGTGCAACACTGGGGAGCTTCCTTTGGTGCTTTCTAGCCAGTAAGATTGTAGATGCTTCATTTGATTCTAGAAGTGGGCACGTGTCCTACCGGTCCCCCCCCCCAGGTGTCCCAGGACACATTCATGCCTATCAGTAGACACACAGCAGCGTAGTTAGTCTAGCGATAAATGGAACACTGTAAGAGAAGAAATGTGTTAGGATATGTCTGTGCAGTCGGATCCAATGAGGTAGAAAACAAGTGAATAATATCTACATGCTTGGATGGTGTGAAACTCACAAAAACAGTTTTGAGAGAGAAAGTAAGTCATAGAAAAATACAGAGAAGAACACCACTGATGTTTAAATGTCCTAAGTTTATGTCACGGTATGGATAGAAACGTGCAAATGTGAGAAAATAATACGGGGGGGGGGGGTTGTTTTCAAATATTTCATGGAAACATGTGTCTTGTAAACAAACTATGCATGGATTTCAAATGATTTTTGTGGAACCAGTAGATGGCATAATGGTTATGTCACTGGACTCCTATGTAGTCGATCACAGTTCGAGTCCTGGACCTGGTGACTTAAAACTCATGTGAGGTATATGTGTGTGCATGCCCAAAATCCCAAGAGGAGAATGGAGGAGGAGGGATTGCTGTATGGCCACCCCCACCCCCACCTCCCCGCCCGGGAAGTGATTTCTCACTTTCTGTCTCTCTGTGTCTCTCTGGCGAGCACACATATGCTATAGCAAGAATCTCTCTTAAAAAAGAAAAAAAAATTGCATCAAAATAAACCCACATTTTAATTCCACTTTTCTACGAATTATTTGAAGTTCCCTTGTATAGACTGCTTAGAGATTTGTGCAGAAAACTGTGTAGAACTACATGGAATTAGAAGCTCACATTCAGTCTTGTGGCTTCTTGTTTGGAGCTAGACCATAAGGAGGTGAAGAGAGAGACATGCAAGGAAGAATAAGCTTTTATTTAAGATTTAAGTTGTACTTAATAAGCAGAGTGGAGATAGTCTTATGCCTTTTTTGTGTGGCTTTAATACTGCATAATATATATTTTTAAATGATTTCATTTTATTTATTTATTTTTTTAACTTGCTGTAGGGTATGTGGACTCAACAGGGAGAAAGAGAGACAGAGGGAGAGAGAGGGAAAGTGAGAAAGCAAGCCACCAGGTCTGGGAATTGAACCACAGTCAGCCATGTGGAAGTCCAGTGCCCTAACCATCATGCCACCTGCTGGCCCACTGTATAATATATATTTTTAAAATATTATGTCTAATTTAAAGAAATAGCTTTAAGATCATTTGCCAGCAGACAGAAGTCTGAGCTTCATGCACAAAAGGCAGAGTTCTTATAGAGACAGAGATCCAGATTCCTCTCCCTCGCTTTATCCGGTCTCTTTAAGGCGACGTGCAGAGCTTTCCCAAATATGGAGTCTTTTTTCCCTAAAAAGAAGACTCTTTAGTGGATCTTCATGAAATGGCTGCAACACAGTAAAGTTCCCCAGACATAACAGGTGCAATAAAGGCACTTCCCCTGGTCAAAGAGCATATGCACGAGACAGCCTACTACTGCTTACTGACCGAGTCTGTCTTTCAACTCTTCAAGGAAATAAGACCTCAATGATCTTTTATAACTACTCTCTTTTTCCTCTTACATCGCCTCACTGTCAAACCACACCCCAACATCCTATTTCATGCTCACTGGGTTTTCTCTTTTGGGGACACTCATACTGTGTTTTCAAGCCTACGCTATTGTCAGATGGACAAGTTCTCCTCTTGTGCCCCTATGACACTGTTTGCCACCAAATTGCTTGGGGATGATGTCTACACTGCCAAATGAAGTGGAGACGCAATTATCATGCGGTCCAGGCCACGCCAAGCTCAGTCCCGTGTTATCCAGGGTGACTGTCATTACAGGTGCTCCGTGCGGCAGGTAGGCGGGAAAGGTCGATGTCTACAGCACCGGGCCTCTGCCTTCTGAGCACCAAGCCTCTGCGCATTCGTCCAGAGCACCTAATGGCCACTGTCAGGGCCACAGGCTGGGCCGAATCCTGGAATAAGACACAGAGAAATAAACACTAGCCTACCTGGTTTTCTTCTCCTGACACCAGTCCTCCACCTCTGCAGATACCTACAGCAGGGTGTCCTAGCCATTCAGAGTCAGTGTCAGAAAGCACAGCTTCTAGGGTTCAGTCCTACACTACTGCCTTCATGTAGGTGCTGGTCACAAGTATAGGGTGTGGTCATGAGTATAGGGGCCCCAGGTCACCCCCACTGCTCTCTGACATGGTTACAAAATTGGGAGTTCTCATAGCCCCACCCCAGGTTCAGTAATTCTTCAGGATAACAAACAGGACCAAGGAGGGTGCTTGACTTAGTTTAGGGGTTAATTACAAAGGGAACAAATGGGCAGCCAATGAAGGGATGCACAAGGCAAGCTATGGATGGGGTGGTGGGTGGAGCTCCTGTGTCCTGTCCAGGTGGGCTACTGTCCAGCTCCTTGACGTGTTCACCAGCCCAGAAGCTCCCCAGACGCTGCTATGTAGGAGTCCATTTTCTTTGCCTATTTCTTCCAGAAGAGAGACAGCACCCAGCAGGGTCTTGACACTGTTTCAGTCCCAGCCTTCACTCAGCCCCAGATCATGGGCTAGTACATTCCTGCCATACTTAGCAGTTCTCTGGACTTGAAGCAGGAACCTTCCCACGTGGAACGTTCCTCACAGTGCTCTGCATTTTACTGCTCTGCCGCCATCCAGCGCCTTGCTTAGGAGCTCTTAATTAGGGTTCCGTTAGGTAGACGTGAGTAATTACATCAGTGGTTGACCATCTCCAGCCCTTCCCTGTCTTCCTGGAGGGTGGGATGGGGTTGAAAGTTGCAACCTTTCAATCTGCCTTGGTCTTTCTGGCAAGGATCTCCCACCCTGAGACTACCCACAGGCCTCGGCCACCAGTCATTGCACTCCCATAAAAGACTCCTGTCACTCTAAAGATTTCAGGGCATTAGGAGCTGTGAGCCAGGAACCAGGGATTGTGCCCACCTCAGGTGCTGGTGCCCTAGAGATGGACGCTGAGCTCACGTGGGTTCAGGCGGTGGTACAGAGACAAGGGTTGGGAACAGAGCATAGTGTCAGGGCACGGGATCTGAAGCAGGTGCCTGAGCTGGGCTGGGTGGGAGAAGGCGGTGTGGTCCCACCCAAGGTGTGGTGCCATCAGCCCTATCATTTGTTCCTTAAAACCAGGGTGAAGAAGAGAACAGACCTAACGGGAGCCTTTAAACTGGACCCTGTCTACCTGAAGCACGGCCACCAGGACTCAGGTAAGCTACTTATCTGCTGTCAACAGTTTGTACCTGTCAACAGTTTGTACCTGTCTGTTGTCACCAGAGGTGCCCAGAGACAGGAGACTATTCACATCCAGGGAGACCTGCCAGTGGAGGCTGAGTCTGCATGTTCCTGGACTCCTTTGCTGTGGTGTGGTTGGTTAAGAAGACCTGGGGGTTCCTGGGGGAGAATCCTGCCCCAGAAACACTGAGAACCTGACTGTTCAGTGCAGGGGCAGGGGCAGCCGGAGTGTGTGGAGCTCAGTCATGGGATTTCAGTATGGGGACGGGCGCCTCCCCTATGAAGAAACATCTCAAACATGGTGGCCCTATGTCTTTCCAAGAAACGATTTGCATCACCTTCCATCAATGACATGAACTGGGATAAAGTAATGAAGAAGACTGGGTAGGGGTCGTAAGTGCAGAGAAAACAGGATGAAGCCAGAGACGGGACTGGTTCATAGCCGTGCACTCCAGTCTGTGCCTAGGCAAACTGCTTCCTGTGGCGGCCTTGGTGACAGCCAGCCAGCAGGTCCAGCACCACCCACACAGTCTAGTGAGTGAGGCAGGAGGTTGGCAGGCAGTCATCAGAGGGCACAGGGTGGCCACGGCCTTCTCCCAGGGCCACTGCAGAGAACATACCACTGCTACGGATGGCCTCAATTTGGCCTTGGGCTTCCTAGGGACAGATCAGGCTCTGAGCCACATGACTGAGGGCTGAGAACAGAGTTCACTTTCCAGTACAGAGATTTGTCAGACGTTTTCCAGTGCCTCTTGATAAGGTCCCTTTTCATGATGTGTCAGAATTTCTTTAAGACAAAGCATGGCTTACTTCATATGGCTGTCATCCTTCTGTAGGCCAGGCCTGAGCATCAGATCAAGAGATCTCACAGGCCAGATCCTGAGAGAAGTCAAGGGGTAAACCTAGGTTTCCTCAAGTGAAGAAGAACGACCTCAGAGATACAAAAGCAAATGGAATGGAAAGTCATCAAAAGTCAACAGTGCTTACCTCTGGATGGTGTAATTATTCATACATTTTCCTAGTTTTCTCTACATTTTAAGAAGCATTGTGAGGCCAGCTGGTGGTATAGTGGTATTGCAATGCTCTGTGATGCTAGATCCAGATGGAAAGGTCCTGGGTTCACATCTCAGGGCCTCCCTCTATACACACACACACACACACACACACACACACACACACACCTGTGATCTGGGCTGGCTGAGGCTGGGGGTGCATCATGGCATGGAGACCCTGGTGGTAGGGGTACTTCTTGCTCTCTCTTTCTCAGTCTCTCATGAAAGAGATAAATTGATAAACTTAGGAGGGAGGGGAAGGAACATCATAATTAGAAATAATATCTTTGCATGTCAAGGTGCTCAGAGTAGTACAGTCACTCATCCTGAGGTGTCAGACGATTCCTAAGCACAGAGCCTTCCACGGCACTCACCTGACTCCATGTAACAGTGACCAATGCATGAGCTGTCACAGTCAGTCTAGTCCTCCTCCGAGTTGCCAACTTCATCCACTGATCCAGTATTTCTGGGTGTTTGCCTGGAGCAGCTCCTGTCAAGCTTCCTCCGTGGAGAGCCCCACCAAGCTGTCTGGTGCAGTCTTGCTCCACAGCCAGGCTCATGGCCCTCCTGCTCACTGTGGCCTTCAATGTTTCCATATTTCTGCTCAGTCTCCTTCAAGAACTCCAGAGCCTTCCGTATTTTTCCTTCCCTTTAACTACTGAGTCAAAAATGCCCTTCCTGGAGCCAATGCCACTTTGCCTAGCTTTTGAAACCATGTGGCTCTAAAATAGTACACCTATTAATTTAAAATAACTCATGGATTGGGACCAGCAGATGGCGTAATGGTTATGTCGCTGGACTCCCACGTAGTTGACTGTGGTTTGAGTCCAAGACTTAGCGGCTTAAAACTCAAACCAGGTACGTGTGCGTGCATGCCCAAAAACCCGAGAGGAGAATGGAGGAGAAGGGATTGCAGTGTGGCCATCCCTACAGGGGGTGGTTTTTCACTTTCTGTCTCTCTGTCTCTCCAGCAAGTACATGTGCCCTGTAGTAAAGACCTCTCTTAAAAAAAATAAGAGAGAGAGAATAAATAATGTAACAGAGAAAGTCCAGAAAGGTTGTCCTTTCACATTTTACTTAAGCAGGATCTTAGTTGATCCATAAATTGTTTTATTTTATTTATTTATTTATTTATTTATTTATTGTTTTTTAGAGAGAATTTTGCTATAGAACACTTGCGCTCTCCAGAGAGAAAGAAAGCAAGAAATTGCCCCTGCGGGGGATGGCCACGCCACAGTCCCTCTTGGGATTTTAGGTATGCACGCACACACGCCCAGCGTGAGTTTTAAGCCACCAGGTCCGAGACTCAAACCACAGTCAACTACATGGGAGTCCAGTGACGTGGCCATTACACGATTCTGCTGATCCCTCGTTTTAATCTACCTATTGGGCAGTTCTTCACACATTTATCTTCACCCAAAAGATGCCGAGCCTCCTGACATGAGGGAATTTTTAAAATTTCTCTCTGAAGCCCTCACTGCCGCCAGCACAGGGCCTATGCGTGGGCTACCATGGAGCTTGATGAAGCCTGGAGAGTGACCTGAGTGAATGACAGGCCAAGTCTTTGGGAACTTCTATTATCTTCACTACCAGTTGTGTTTGTTTTCTAAAATGCATTTCTTTTTATGAGACAGAGAGACAAGCCCCCTCCATGAGGCTTCATGCTGTGATCCTGCCCCTTCCCCAGCCTTCCAAGCCAGCTAGGATCATGGCATGCACCTGCCTGGTGTGTACAAGGCAACCCAGGAACCAGGCCCAGATCTTCCCTATGGCTTCCAGCATTGTGGAATTTCGTGCCACCACTGGGCCCCCTCATCTGGGTATCACTTCTAGTCTCCTTGGATAATAATGGATCCATGGAACCATCAGACTGCCCTGTGTGGTGGATGAAGAGCAATGAGGTCGATGGTGGGTGGTGTTGGGCGGAGACCTTGGTTCGGCTAAACACGGGAGGGCCACTCCTGGCCACGTTGCAGCCATGCCCTGTTCCTTGCCATGCCTGTGACAGTGATCAGATTCCCATGATGAGTCCTCAGCCGGTCTGTGCAGGATGGAGCAGTGACATAATTCTCACAGATCCCTTGCCCAAAGTCACTGGTAGAAACTTCCATCTCTGGGACCTCATCCAGGATCTTTTCACTTCATAATCCTGGGATTTGTGCCTTAGGCAGAGGGGAGACTAAAACCCAAACCTGCCATTTTCCATAACAGTATGGAGTCATCGACTCTGGGATGGTGACCTGAAGACGGTATTTGCTGAGCGTCTGCTCTGTGTGGACACTGAGCCAAGACTCACTAAGACCCATGAGGCCAGAGATGGGTCTTCCTCCCTCTGCCTTTCTAAATATTCTGGTCAGTGCTGATCTTGCAAATTCACCTTGCCAGGTGGGACTGGGCAATGAGCAATGGAGCCCATCTGAATGCTATCACTGCTGGGCACTGGGCGAAATCTCAAGCGTTCCACGCCTATGCAACTGCAGAGAGCAGAATGAAGGGGACTCCACTAGTGAATTAATTAGCAGGTCCAGTTTGTGTTTGGGGCATTCTTTTTTGTTTGTTTTGACCACAGGTCATGTGTGTTGGCCAGAGAGAGACAGAAACAGAGAGAGAGAGGGGAGAGAGAGAGAGAGTGTTCCCCAATCGGGCATGGTCGCACTGCAATTCCTTCTCTATTTTTCCTTCTGTTGGGATCTTGGGCACACACGCATACACACATGAGCCCAGATTGATCTTCAAACCAACAGGGCCAGGATTTGAACCACAGTTGGCCATGCGGGATCCAGTTCCCTTAACCATTAGGCCATGGGGTCAGTCCCGTCTTTTAAATTTTTTTCTTTATTTAATAATTGGCCTAGAGCATATGTACTTTCCAGAGAGAGAAAGGGAGAGAGAGAAAGCACCCCCCACCCCCCGCAGTGGTCATGCCACACTCTTTTTCCCTCCGCGTCTTCATCTGTCCAACTTTGGAACACACATGTACATATGCCTAGTGTGTTTTTCAAATCTCTGGGTCTGGGATTTGAACTGTGGTCTGCCATCTGGCTCCCAATGAACCATGTATGACCACTGCATTATCGGGCTAGCCCGGAGTTCTGAATATTCTCCTCTTAGAGGCTCATGTTGCCTGGAATCTCTTACCTTGGGAAGTACCACAAAGAACGCCTGGCTGTGGCCACCAAGCAGTTTTATCTCTGCTCAGAAGACTATGTATGTGACACAGGAAATTCCCCTGGAAGAGAATGATCATGTAATCAACAAGTCTTTCTAATGGCTTCTTTCTCTTCTCCAGGGCTCATCACGGACTATAGGGTAAGTGGGAGCTTTGTCTCTCTAAGTTCCAGAGCTGTCATACTACAAAATACGATGGAGTGCAGGAGGCTTCTGTGACTGCATCTCCCACTGTCCCCCTGACTCTCACGATCAGGGATCCTGCTAAGGATGCCTTTTGACTGGGTCCTAGTTGATGAGTCACCGGGAGCCTGCCAACCAGAGGTGTCTGCTTAGGAAGAAGCACTCCTTGCACCCCCAGGGAGTTCTCCTGGAGGGGAGGGAGCTTCTTGTGGTTCCTCCTATGGCCCCTCACCCTGCTCCATGTTGTGTGTCATGGGGGATAAAGGACACACTGAGGGAAAAGGAGAGGGAGGTTCAGAGACCACAGAAGTGCTCAGATGGGGACCGTCATCTCAGCCACTTTGTTGCAAATTACCTCTTTCTTTCTTTGTTTTATTTACAAGTGTTTTGTCAATCCCTAAATAGCAAGTAGTTAGGGAGACTTCCTAAAAGAGAAAAGCTACTTACTCAGGAATGGGAATGGTGATGCAGAATATGCTTGCCACAGTAAAGTATAAACATAGCTGTATTGGGAACCAGCAGTTAGCGTAATGGCTATGTCGCTGGACTCTCACGTAGTCGACCACGGTTTGTATCCCGGACCCGGTGGCTTAAAACTCACGCCAGGCGCGTGTGCGTGCATGCCCAAAATCCCAAGAAAAGAATGGAGGAGAAAGGATTGCAGCGTGACCATCCCCCCTGGGGGGTGATTTCTCACTTTCTGTCTCTCTGTCTCTGTCTGCCTGCCGAGCGCACGCGCCCTATAGCAAAAACCTCTCCAAAAAATAAAAAAACACAGCTGTATTCAGAATGGAAAAGTATGAAAAGGGGTTTTAAAAGAAAGAGGAGGGATTATATAAGATTTTGGGGGGCAAATCCCCCTGATTCAGAATCAATAACAAGGGTGGAGACAGTTCAATACTGGACAGGCAGTTTTCGGGTAGATGTCTTTGCAGAAGCAGGCCTTTGTCAGGCTGTAGGGGCCTTTGTGCAAGGCTGTGGTTCTGGCGGAGTCTTCATGGTGGTTCTTGTTATCAGACACAGGCGCAGGTGCATGACAGTGGCCCCCAGATGGTCTCCCCCATCCATTTAATCAGAGCTTGACACAAGTTGTCATAAATGACTCTATTTTGAGTCCAGCAACTTTCACAGTTTAGTGAAGTGTGTTGGAAAATACCAGACCCTCCCAACTTTACTCTGGAAAAGAAGTTGGAACCCAAAGCAGTGCTAGAACAAAGAATAGTCCCCCTTGCGGGGACAAGTGTGAGGCCACTGCATTGGTCCCTTCCCCACAACAAGAGGGGACCCGGGCCCTGTTCTCTTATGTTCAAATTGATGGGCATGGGATGTCTTCCAGCAGACCTGGCCTTCCTGACAGGTGTGCTTCTGAGAGCTGTGGGACCGAGCATCTCACTGGCCACTAATAAGCTACCAGGAGCTGCCCCTCAAAGACACTGCGTGTCCCTCCATCTTCCTGTGACACCTGAGAGCCGGAAACTGCAGGGTACCAGGAAACCTCCCAGGCCATCAAAGCTGGTCCTAAACAGAGTTTGGGCAAAATGTGCCTACTACCCTCAGCCCCACAACCAGAGAGAGACACTCCCCACACCTGCTTCCTCTCCACAGAAGTGGAGGTGCGAACCTGTTCCACAGCATTAGGGAGATAAGATGAGATGATGCGGGAATACACACAGAGCAGCCTCTGGTGCATTGATAAAACCAGGAGAACCACGCTGAGCCACAGCCGAGTCTCACGTTGGGTCCAGGCCTCCCTTTGCAACCTGGAAGCTTCTGTGGAGCTCTTGCTCTGAGCCCCTAGGGCTGCTTCTCCCACAGTGCACAAGTGGGGGCTCAGGCCAAGCATCCCCTGGTGCCCACACGGCAGATGGCTTGGATGACAAGGCACTGTACCCTGCTGTGGTGTCTTGTCCCACGCCCAGTGGGAAACCCATCTCTTAGCTCCTCTCTGCAGGCAGGGGCCTAGGGGACAAACAGGGAGTGTAGGAGCCCCTGCCTGACAAGCTTAATAGGATAGTACTATTTACAAGGCAATATGAAGTGCCACCCCACTGTCCTCCCAGACTTGAGTTACTGTAATTCTAAAGGTTGGAGCCCCATGCAAAAGGTAGCGTCCCGTGAGCTCAGGTCAGGAACAACTAAGAAAAGCAGAGGGCAGGCTTCTTCGAGAAGAGCACATGGGTCGATGTTGCATTTTTTGGTGAGGGGGTCTTGGGGCCACTCCATGGTGGTCAGTAGGACAAGAAGGGAACCTACTTTGCTGTAGGAAACGGTGCCAGAACATCACAGGAAGCAAGGAGCAGGGACTGGGTTTCAATGCCTGCTTCTTCATAAGCAGAGACACCCGTGAAAGAAGCCCCCTCACCCGTGCTCCATGCCGGACACAGTGCCCTCTGGGGTCAGGCAACGTCTGCCTTCAGGACCCTGAGCTCGGTATGAGATCTGCCCTGGTGCTCTCGGTCAACATATGTTGAGTGGGAAGAAGCCATGAGCATCTGTGTCCCATGTCAACAGTCCTGCCTGTCTCCCTCCCTCTTGGGACTTTGCAAAGAAAGCCTCTTGCTCTGGGCCTCCCCCTTCATCGTGGTCTTGGCCAGCCAAGTGGAGTCACCAGGGAATTAGCTGCCTCCCAGAGAAGAAGGAGAACTCATGAGTCAGAGGAAACCCTCTGAACACAGTCCTTACTGACTTTGTTTTATTTCAGCACTGGCAGATACCGCTGGGCCGGAGGTTCCGCTCTTTGAAGATGTGGTTCGTCTTTAGGATGTACGGGGTCAAAGGACTGCAGGCATACATCCGCAAGGTGACTTGGTTTTCCTGGGTTTCCTCGTAATAGTACAGAGACCTCAGGGCCCTCAAAAATGAATTCAGATGCCTACATGAGCCAATCTGTGGGAAGGGAACCAGACTGTAGTTTGGGTTGTTGACAGCAGACTATATGTAAGATGTTTTTAAGACCCTCGCATTAAGATTATCATTATCTTGGGACCAGCAGGTGGCATAGTGGTTAAGGCACTGGACTCCCATGTAGCTGTCCGTGGTTCAAGTCCCAGACCTGCAGGCTTGAAACTCATGCCAGGCACATGTACATGTGTGCCCCAAATCCCAGGAGGAGAAAGGATTGCAGCATGGCCAGCACCCCTGTGGTGATTTCTCACTCTCCCTCTCTCTGTCTCTCTCTTTCTAGTGAGTGCATCAGAAAATGTATCCTATAGCAAAATTTTAATTTTTTTTTTAATTTTCAAAAAGATCATTATCTGGCCCAGCCACGGTGGCACACACTACTAAGATGCTGTGCTCTAAAGGCTGGGACCACATAGATTTCAGGTTCAGTTCCCGTTCCAACCTAAAGACAGGGTGTGATGGCATGCACCAGCAGCTAGAGGTGGAAGGGTGGAGTGGGAACTGAGGGAGGAGGATCAAAACATGCCAAACCCTTTCCTTCTTTGATATGTGTCTCTTTAAAAGGTATTTTTCTATAGGGTGCATGCACTCAGTGGAGAGAGACAGAGAGAAAGGAAAGTGAGACGTCACTCCCATGAGAGGAGGAGCATGCTGCAGTCCTTTCTCCTGTGTCCCCTCGGGATTTGGGGCACACTCGCACATGCACTCGGCATGTTTTTTAGGCTACTGGGCCCTGGACTCAGCAGCAGAGTTGGCCTATGGAATCCAGCACCTTAATCACCACACCACCTGCTTGTCAGGCAAGACCCTTTCTTAAAAAAAAAAAAAAAAAAGAAAAAAAAAGGAGGAGGGACACAGGTTAGCGAATGGCTAAT